ACATAATGGCCATAAACCCTGGAGAGACTCGAAAACAACAAATGTTCATCTGGAATAACATGTTCTTTTCATTGGGCTTCGATGTAAAAGACCACTACAAAGAATTAGGGGGTGAGGCTGCCGCATACGTTGCCACAGTGAGTGAATTTCAATTAACTTCCACTGTGCTCAGGCACTCTTAGATTTTTAATACCACTGTCCCACCTTACTGCTGCGCCTAAATAATTGTATTCTAAGTCAAAGAAAAACCAACAAAGTCGGCTGTGTCCAACCTCAGGCCCGAAATGCCTGGGACACTGGCAAATTATTCCAAAAAATCGACATGCGCGCTCTAAAACACGCAACGTAGTTCATATTCATGCAGCATTAGCAGCTGATTTGACAGTCTTATTCTCAGCGTTTGACTCGTTTGCACTTGCATACCACAACGGTATCTAACTGAACCAATTATTAATCTCTTCTGTAGTCAAATGACCTGAATGGTGTCCGTGCATACTCCCTCCTTGACCAGCCGGGTCTGTGCACGCTTGGAACAGCCATTATTGACTATCGTGGCTATCGGGTCACTGCGCAAACTATAATTCCAGGTGAGTTTTTGGAAGCATTGCCATCTGTAGTGAGATCTTTCAGCCAAACTAAAAGACCCATTTGTAATCCACATATCCAAGCATCGGAGATGATTCAACCAGATATCCTTTTTCTACAATATTCCGACCAACGTTTTAGAATAATTTTGTTGCACCCACCTGGGAGATGACAGGACTCACACTCGAACTCCTCATCCGTGACAGCAACGAATAAGTTCGGTGAATACACAAGGGACGCAGTTACTACACCAGCACACAAAATTAGCAGCTTCCTCATTTAATGTACGTGATGGGGCTTGCTGCGATGGCCATCTTATCATCGTGACCGAGGCGTTTTTTGCCGCAATTTTTTTGTCGGTGTTGGTGACTGACGCGACCATTACTCGTCGATGTGGTCCATCAATATTGTCACTGGAGGCAACATTCGTCCGCGCGCTTCCCGTGCGACAATTTACTCTGTTCAGACAGTCTTGGCATTGAATTAGGAAAGAAAGCGGCTGACGGCTTCCTGGGCGTTCTTGTCTCACGGAAACGCGCGCCGACATTCGCAGCCAGTGTAGTTTGGTCTCGTCTGTGCACGCACGGGTTTCACGGGCAGCCGTTCATTCGGTGAACCCCTCAAAGGTATTGTCGTCTGCCAACATTGCCTCCCAGTCCATCGCAGTGCGGCTTGATGCGCCGATAGAGCGCGCTTGCACAGCTAAGCTTTTTGGTTCGCGAAGTGTTTGCTGCTGAGGCTGAGCGCTTGCATCGTCGGTCGTTTTTCTAAATACCGGTTTTCGGGCCTTCGCGATCTTTGTGACTGACAAAGAGATAAAGGTAGGTCGTCAGGTTGTTTTCTTCCTCCATCGTGCATTGGAGGACGTCATCACCTGATTCCATCCGATGCCAACAAAGGTACCCACTACATACCCAGCCAAAAATTTCGGCGCGTGGATATGGAAGAGCATTGATTCCAACCGTTGCAAGACTCGCTTGTGAACTCAGCGATCGCCGAACTTATTCACGTACCTCTCATACGGTAGTAGTTTATATCATCAAACGATAGCTAGATCCTTGTTGCGGACTGGGGCTTCCGGACAGGACAGTCTGCCCTAGAAGGCCAGGTGATTACTGGAGCATCGCCAGTTCTGTGCCCAACGGGAATCTAATCCCATAGAAGTGTTGACACGCGAAATAGCTGTTTGTTACGGAGGTGGCCGAGGGCCGCTGTTGCCTTTGAATACGTTCGACAAGCAAGATGTTTTACTGATAGCTCACTGTCTTATCTGTGAAATGCGTATTCGAACAGAACGAAGGTGGCGAAGTATGCAGGCTTTAACGATGTCACTCATTTAATGACCTATTTAGTCGTCTGCGGTCATTGGATAATTACAAACTACCAATTCGGTGGTAGAACAGCCCAGGGTAATTAAACGGGACATGCACATAAATGGTAAGGAAGGTTGATTGGACATGCGAGTAGGCTAGTTCGAAAGGTGGGAGGGGCCGATAGGGGAAGGAGTTTTGATTACAACGGGGACTGGTCAAGTGTGGTAGGGGCTACATGAGGTGAAACATTATCCAATCACGTTGAAGCTGGGGAGACAAGAAGGAACAGAGTTATTTCCCTTACTGACTCTTTAAAGGTAGTGTGGCTAAGTCACGTGGTCCAACTGTTTACACAGTTCTGCTTTCTTTCGTATTGCTGCGGCTTCTGAATAGCACAGGAGACTCCCAGTCCTCGCCCGAATTAGGACCTTGGACGATGCTGTTGTGCGGTTGCATTCCCTTGGGTCGTGTTTTCTATTCCTAGCTCAGTTTTGGCATATGTATAACTAACCGAATTACCAACCACCTTTGCGTGCACTAAGTATATTCGAATCTGCAATTACATGTCAATTCATAGGTACAGTTTGATTTTACGTGCATAGGCAAGGTATCCTGAATTGGCCTCATTAAGATAGCTGTTGTGGCGTTTAGAAGCGACAAGTTAAAGACGGTGATGACCGTTCAGTCGTGTGCCAGAGCCATCACTTCTCACCTTCGCTCCTTCGCCTCCGTACACCTGTGAATTTTAATGTGCAGCCATGTCTTACGTCAACCGGTAAATCGCCTCGAGTTTTAATTGTTTACCCTTTCCATTTCGTAGGGATTCTCGAAAAGGAGCAGGAACAGCTC